GTCAATGGTGGTCCCAACTCTGCATCACATTGGGTAGCTTGAAATTAGTCAGGGCTCCTCCTGCCCCAACCCTGAGATCCCAACTACTAGCATTACCAGCATACCACAGTCTCTGACCAGTGGTGCCCAAGGTTAAGGTGGAAGCTTCCTCCTTGTTTAATATTCTGAACCACTAAGGGGACCTGAATTCTTGACTTTGGTGTTATCAGTACCACGCTTCACAGGGTGAGCTAACCGGCCAGCCCTGAATCTCTTTCATAGCAGCCAGTCTGTGGGCTTCTGTGTGACAGCTCAAGATCAAGGCTTGAGTTGTCAAGGGTGGGAAGCGCAGGGTTTTGTAGATGTGCCTGTGATGAGCATTGTAGCTACAGCGAGTAGAGGACCCAGCCTGTGACACTGAGTTCCCTGTGACTGTCCCAGAGCACCAGATGAGGCTGCTGCTTGGCAGGTGGACCATGAATGCCTTCTGTGCCTGGGACTGATTGGAGAGAGCTGAACCACTCTCTGGGAGAGGCCAAGGCAGGAGTCCAGGTCTGAAGCTGGGAGGTGGGGCCGAGGGAGTCTGTAGACATGACATCACGGAGGCAGGTCTGCAGTTTGGGAGACCCACATTCTAACTGGGGCTCTGCCACTTCCTGGCTGTGTGTCCTTGGGCAAATCACCTCACCTCTCTGGGCTATGTTTCTTCATCTATACGAGAAAAATAATGGAGGAGATTTCACTAGGTTGCTGTGTGCATGAAAGTGGAAGAAACTTGGAAAGTCTAAGGAAAGATCTAGATAAACAGTAACTTTTGTGATTAATATAAATGGTCATAAACGTTTGTCCCTTCCTTCACTTGTTTCCTCTGACTGTGATGTCCTTGGAAACAGAAAATCTGCCTTTTATTTCAGTGCTTGGCAAGGTGTCTGACAGCACAGGAAATAAGAATCGTGATGCCAATGACAATAGCAAACACTTATACTGGCACAGTGCTTAGCCCTCTAAGTTTATTAACTCAAAGTTCACGGTTTTGCCCAGGGCTGCCTTCTGTCTCCTCTCCAGTCCCTGAGGTGGGGGTTGCAGAGCGGCTGACAATGGCCTTTCTCCCCCGCCCCCCCAGGGTTCCCGGAGTCCGTGGAGCTGGCGCCCCTGCCCCCCTGGCAGCCCGTGGGCGAGAACTTCACCCTGCACTGCCAGGTGGTGGGCGGGGAGCCCCGGGCCCACCTCACGGCGGTGCTGCTTCGCGGGGAAGAGGCGCTGAGCAGACAGCTGGTAGTGGGGAACCCTGCCAATGTCACGGCCACGGTGCTGGCGAGCAGAGGTGATCACCGCGCCAATTTCTCTTGCCGCACAGAACTCGACCTGCGGCCCCTAGGGCTGGTACTGTTCCAGAACACCTCGGCCCCCCGACGCCTCCGAACTTTCGGTGAGGGAAAGGGCTGCAGATGGTGGGTGAAGAGCTGAACTAGAGTAGGGGGTGCCCTAACTGTGGGGTTTCTGTAAATGGGGTGGACTGGACCTCAAGAGCTTCTGGGAGGGCATGCACTTGGCCATTGGGCAGGGTGGCCCCAGAAGAAAGCCCGAGGCCACGAGATCTTTTGAGAAGGCCGTGTTCATGGCCGTGCGGGTGTGTCCTGGGAAGAGGGGTGATCCAGATCGCTTTGTATCCTTGGAAGAGGAGGTTCTTGGTGGGGGGATGAGGGTGTCCTAGGGCAAGCAGCGTCCGTGGCTGAGTCCTCCCGCTCACATATACTCTTCTCCCCAGTCCTGCCCGCGACCGCTCCACGCCTCGAGGTCCCCCAGTTCTTGGAAGTGGGAACATCATGGAGGGTGGACTGCACCCTGGAGGGGCTGTTCCCTGCCTCTGAGGCCTATGTCCACCTGGCGCTGGGGAACCAGATGCTGAAACCTGTAGTCACAAGCCACGGGGACACGCTCACAGCCACGGCCACGGCGCGTGCCGATCAGGAGGGTACCTGGAAGATTGTATGCAACATGACCCTGGGGGGCGAGAGTCGCGAAGCCCACAGCTTGACAGTCTTTGGTAAGAAGGGGCGGGGCCACCACAGCCCGAGGGGCGTGGCAGGTAAGGGCGGAGACTAAACCGAAAAGCTGGGCCTGAGCTCCCCAAGTGGGAGGAGCAACGTGGGAGGGGCCTGAGCGCCCTAGAATTATAGTCTAAGTGCCCAAAGTCGCGCAGGGCCCGCAAGGAGGGCGGAGCTGGAAAAGTCGAAAGGCGCGGCGCAGATGCATCAAGAGGTCCAGGGGCGTGCAGAGGGTGCGGCTTGACCCACTGGAGGGGTCGTGGTCAGTAAGCTCCTAGGCAATGCCCCACCTTTAGGTTTCCTAGGGCCCATTCTGAAGCTGAGCGAGCCCAACGTCACCGAGGGGTCCACAGTGAATGTAACTTTCGAGGCCGAGGCCCGAGTCTAGATCATGCTGGACGGGGTTCCACCCGCGAGGCCGGGGCAGCCCGCCCAGCTTCATCTAAATGTCACCGAGAGCGCCGACGGGCGCAGCTTCTTCTGTAATGCCACCCTCGAGGTGGACGGAGAGATCTTGCACAGGAACAGAAGCATTCAGCTGCGTGTCCTGTGTGAGTTAGTCACTCAGATCTTTAATCCCTCGCCCCCCTGACCTGGAAAGACTTGACTCGTCTTGGCCCCACTGTACTTCAGGTGTGTTGGGTGTCTAATCACATGGTGGTTCCACAGACGGTCCCAAGATTGACCTAGCCAAATGTCCCCAGCGCTTGGCGTGGAAAGATAAAACTACGCATGTTAAGTGATGCTGGGACAGCAGATTGTCCTCGTAGAAAACTGAGGTTAATTAGTCATAGCTTTCATGGAAATATACGTAGACAGACGGATAACTGGAATGCTAAAAGTGTTAGTGAAGGTTAAAACATTTGGAAGAAAATCTGCATTAAGGGCCGGCCCTGTGGCTCACTCGGGAGAGTGTGGTGCTGATGACACCAAGGCCGCGGGTTCGGATCCCACATAGGGATGGCCGGTTCGCTCACTGGGCGAGCGTGGTGCTGACAACACCAAGGCAAGGGTTAAGATCCCCTTACCGGTCATCTTTAAAAAAAAAAAAGAAAAGAAAATCTGCATTAATATGAGGGTACTTCAAAACGTTCATGGAAAGGTTTCGTATTATCTTTTAATTCTATTTTTTCCACAAATTTTTTGAAGTGCACTCATGTATCAATGACCTCAGATTAGGGAAGCTTTTCCTGAACTTTACCCACAGTTTAAAAAATCAGAATTTAAAAGTGAGTTTGACAAAAGCATCGTGAACAAGATTAAAGGGTCTTCCAGAGACTTGGAGATGGTTTTTGCCATGCATATGGCTGACAAAGGGTGATATCCAGAACCTATAAATTCCTATAATCAAAAAATAATGAGGTAGGGGCCGGCCCGGTGGCGCACTGGATAGTGCGCCGCTTGGGAAGCGCGGCGGCGC